TGAAGATTACATGAAGTCATTCGTAAAGTGTTTAGAACGTAGCTATAATCATCCACATCTTTCAGATAAGAAAAGTAAGACTCAGAGACTTTGAGCATTCGCCAAAACTCAAAGAATTAAGAAATGATGGGTGTGGTGGCTCATGCCTGTAATTTCAGCACTTTGGGAGGCTGAGGTGGGAGGATCATGAGGTTAGGATTTCAAGACCAGCCTGGCTAACATAGTGAAACCCCGTCTCTACTAAAAATACAAAAATTAGCCAGGCATTATGATGTACGCCTATAGTCCTAGCTACGTGGGAGGCTGAGGCAGGAGAGTCGCTTGAACCTGGGAGTCAGAGGTTGTGGTGAGCTGAGATTGCGCCACTACACTTCAGCCTGGGCAACAGAGCAAGACTCTGTCTAAAAAAAAAAGAAGTGGTTGATTCAGTGTTCTTTCCTTTATACCCATTAATAATTAACAAAGTCCCAGCTTAATACTGCCCACAGAAATACTTTTGTGTTTCTCAGAAACATGTAATAATCTAGATTTTAGGCTAGCAAAAGGAGGCGATTTTACTTAAACATGTTTTGCGTTTTGACTTCAGAGTCAAGGGCTTGCAAATTTCCTTATCAGCCCTGGCATCCCTTGGGAGGTGCTGACAGCACTGACCTCAAGGCATGCTGTAAACCTAGGAGAGCATGATCTGGGGATGGAGAGATTAGAGGAAGGTAGATGAAGTCAAGCAGGAGTGAGAGAAATTTAGTCCAGCTCCAAGCTGGCATTGGAAGGCCAAGGGGAGACTCTTTCAGGAGGATTGGCATAGGAAATAATTTTAAATTGCAGAATAGCAATGCTGAAGGAAGAAGGCAAAGCAGGCTTATGCCAGGATGAGGAATAGAGTAGGATCCAGGCCCAAGGCATAAATTTGCAGAGATGTGTGTGCGTGTGTGTGTGTGTGTGCATGTGTGTGTGTGTGTGTGCGTGCATACCTGATCAGGTACCTAGGATGTAAGGCAGGAGTCTCTCCTCACCCTCCTGCCCCTCTCTTTGTACTAGTGTCTGGGGTATGAGAAAAGCAGAGGAACTTCTCCACCTTTACGAGAGGCTGGGTAGAAGAGGGCAGAAAGGTAATTTGATCACCCTATAGTTCAGGGGTTGGTGAGGATGAGAAAGAAAGGCTGCTTTTGATAGCCTTGTAAAGTGGCCAAGCTTTGGTTCTGAGGCATTAGAGTTCTACCAATTATTTCCAATTCCTATGGTTCAGATACTTAAGGCTCTTGGTCAAAGACTGCAGGAGTAAAGTGGGATAGTGTTTACATAGCAGAATGTTCCCTCCAGTGCTGGGATGAGGCTAGGACAAAAGAGGAAATGATATGGGTAAGACTTGCAAGGTGAGATGCATAATTCCCTATCCATGTCCTGTTGTTTTCCCTCAGAGATCATCTTCATTAACTACCTCTTTCTTTTTCTTTTCTTTTTCTTTTTTTTTTTTTTTTTTTTTTTTTTTTTTTTTTTTTTTTTTTTTTTTTTTTTTTTTTTTGAGATGGAGTCTTGCTCTGTTACCCAGGCTGGAGTGCAGTGGTGCGATCTCCACTCACTGCAACCTCTGCCTCCCGAGTTTAAGCAATTCTCCCTGCCTCAGCCTCCTGAATAACTGGGATTACAGGTGCCCACCATCATGCCTGGCTAATTTTTGTGTTTTTAGTAAAGATGAATTTTGTCATGTTGGCCAGGCTGGCCTTGAACTCCTGACCTCAGGTGATCTGCCTGCCTCGGCCTCCCAAAGTGCTGGGATTACAGGCATGAGCCACCATGCCTAACCTACCTCTTTCTTTTCTGTACTATTAATCTTTTTTCTCTGTGGCACATTTATTTTTGTATTACGCATGTTCAATATTCTCAAATAATATGAAACAAAGTCAGCAAAATAACCCTTCATCTTTGGCTCCCCATCTTCTTTAGTTAGTGTTCTTTATTCTTGTCTTCTGTATGGTTACATTCTTGAAATAGTTCTCTCCAATTACCCATCCTCACTTCTTAGTCTCACCTCAGTCCACCATAAACTGGCCTCTCACCTTCCCCTCCATTGAAACTACTATTGCAAATGCCATACAGTTTTCCACAATCCCAAATTTCATGGCTGTCTTTCTCTTCTTTTGATGATAATGACTGGGTTTGTGTTTTTCACTGCTCTATCCTCATTACACACTAGCATATACCTGGCACATAGAAAGTGCTCAATAACTATTTTTTGAATGGAATTGATCTCTCTGTGGTGTGTGACACTTTACCACTGAAAGGAATTAGACTATGTCAACCCAAAATATGCCAGTTTGGCACAGGGATCATTTTGAGCTGAAGAAAATGGAGAATCAACAGATGCAGAATGAAGTCCTTCTAGAGTTCCCGTTATCTGACTAAAAGCAGAAACTTCTGAGAACTGAGGATTGCCATAAGTCCCCTCTCTTGGGCAAATTTTATGACTGTGAAGACGATGGAAAGTCGGCACCAAGATAGACTTGCACAAACAAAGCTTGCTAATATAGCCCTTATTTTCCATTAGTTTTCTCTATATATTTACCTTCCCACAGTTTGCAGCTCTTAGAAGCCTAAGAACTTTCTTCCTTTGTCTTGTTCCATTTCTGCAATTTACGTTTGTTTTTGCTTTTGTTAAAATGGTATATAAACTCTCAGACCTATTCCCTTCTTTGTTCTTCACTTTTTTGGTAAGAAGATCCATGTGTCACATAAAAACTATACATCAAATACAATTCATATGCCTTTTCTCTCCTTTTTATCTGTCTTTTACTAGTTTAATTTGTAGGGCCTTAGCCACTGAACATAAAAGGATAGATAAATGCTTTTCCCTCCTGCCTTGCAATAGTCTCTCTCTTCTATTCTTTTTCAGACTTACCTTCCTTCCCTCCCTTCCTTCTCTTCCTTCCCTCCCTTCCTTCCCTCCCTCCTTCCTTCCCTCCCTCCCTCCCTCCCTCCCTCTCTCCCTCCCTCCTTTTTTCCCTTCCTTCCCTCTTTCCCTCCTTCTCTCCTTTCCTACCTCCCTCCTTCCTTTCCTCTTTCCCTCCTTCTCTCCTTCCCTCTTTCCCTCCTTCCTTCCTCTTTCCCTCCCTCCCTCCTTCCCTTCCTCCTTCCCTTCCCTTCCCTTTCCTTCCTTCCCTTACTTCCCTCCTTCCTTCCTTTCCTTTCCTCCTTCCTTCCTTTCCTTCCTTCCTTCCTTCTCTCCCTCCCTCCCTCTCTCCCTCTACCCCTCCTTTCTCTGGCACATGCCACCATGCCCAAATAATTTTTGTATTTTTGTAGACATTGGGTTTCACCACATTGCCCAGGTTGATCTTAAACTCCTGACCTCAAGTGATCCACCTGCCTTGGCCTCCCAAAGTACTGGGATTACAGGCGTGAGCCACTATGTCTGGTCTCTCAGGCTTCTTTTTGATCTCCTTCCTTGGCTTGCTCCCTAAAGGTCAGTAGACCCCAGGGTCTGTCCTTTGACCTCTGCTTTCCCCAGACTATAGACTTTCTCTGGATGATCCAATCAAAATCCAAGGCTTCAACTATCTGCTCTGAGATCATTATCTTCCAAACCTATATCTGCAGCCCAGACCCTGTAGTCCAACTATGTGCTAGAAATCTCCAACTGAATGCCTGCCATGTACCTCAAACTCAACATATTCAGAGCCAAACTCATCATCTGCCCCCTCAACCTGCTCCTCCCGTAAGTTTTGGCTCAGTGAATAACACCCACCATGCACCCAGTTGTCCAAGTCAGAAACCTACAGCTGTGTTTCCTTCTCTCTCATCTCTCAAATCCAATAAGTCATGAAATCCTGCCAATTCTGATTTTTGAATGGCTGTCAGATCCATCTCTTTTTCTCTAACACCACTGCCATTTCCCAAGTCCAAGCCACCATTGTCTCTCCCCTTCATTATTGCGGTGGCCTCCTCACTGTGCTCTTTGGTCTCTGGCCTTCCTCAGCCTCATTGCCCCTTCTCCATCCTCCTTGGCATGAATAACTAATTCCTAGTCATTCCTCAAGTGCCACTCAATGTCACTTTCCTTGGGAAGCTTCGCTGACTAAGCCCTCCCTGCCCATGAGCCACAAGATATATTGAGTGTGTCTGCTATATGTGTTCCAAGCACTTAACTTGTCTTATTATAATGGATTGTTTAATTGCTTAACTGTACAACTAACCCACTAGATTGGAAAAACTCTGTTTTGCCCTGCACCTATTCCTAGCACCTATCACAGGGCCTAGAGTGTATGGTAAGTAGCACACAGCACATAGTAGATACTCAAAAAATATTTGTTGAATGAGTAAGAAAAAATATTCTAAACTGAAGGACTAGCATTTTGTAGTTCATCTAAAAATAAACAAGGATCAATGGCTAGCAAATAAATCTATGGTGTATGTGTGTGTAAACCTCCCACTCTCAGTTCATGTGGTTGATGAACCTCAACTATGTAAGTGAAACCTTATTTTCCAAATAAAAATATTCAGTGTGAACAGCAATGCCATAACTTTTGGTGTGCATGGCAACAAACAGCTGCAACAAATAAAATAAGCAAAAAAACAAAGGTAACAAAACCCCATTTATTCATCCAGATCTTTTCTGTTTAACTCTGCAGTCTTAACAGTTCAATAATTCAACTGCAAATTTGTTAAGATTCATTGCTTTCCAAGTCTATCACATGCTCAGGCTTATTTGCTTGTCTCTTTCTGCTGGGAAACTATTTGTCTGCAGAGTGGCCCAGAAAACAACTTTTTTTCCATATTAATTACTCAAAGATTAAGAAAGGTAAAATAAGAGTTATGTAACAGAGGGTTTGTTTTGCTCCTAGGATTACACAGTAATGAGCATGCATATTTATCCTTGGGAATGCTTACAATGATATTATCTGAATGATATATTCTCTTCTTGTATCCCTATGAATAAGGTACTCATTTCCATCTTCCTGTCTGCATTAAATAGTCTGAACCCTCTTGTACCTGTAATTATCTGCTATGTATAGAGCACTGTGAGGGTTGCCGGAGCAGTTAGATGTGTCCTATATCCTTGATCGCTTTGGAAGAATGTGACCCCAACCCCCATCAAACACATAGGAGAGGGTGTGAGAAGTAATTGTACTAAAGCCTGCCAGGCCAGGGTTCCTTCCTACTAATCATCAACCAGTGTTTTTGGACTTAATATAATCACTTGGGTTGAACTTGAATACTTAACTCTAAAGGTGAGTGTTTTAAAAAATGAAAAGTTGGGGCAGTTGCTTTTTTCTATAGTTGTAGTCTCTAGAACTATGATTATATAAATATTTTTATAGTTTTACAGCATGCACATATATCTACTTTAAGGAAATAACTTCATTCCTTTCTCTCTCCCTTCTTTCTTTCCTTTTATATAAAAATTAATGTTTTCCTTTTTTAAAAAATCAAAGTAATGAGTACAAGTTTAAAAAGTCAAATAATGCTAAGTGACTTATAGCAAAAACCAATATTCTCTTAATCCCTTTACCTCAAATTGCCTCTTGTCCTTCTGAATACTCCCACCTACCTTAGGTAACTATTTTCAAAATCTGCTCTACTTCTAATATCAAAATACTGCTATTGCTTTTTTAAAGCATTATTTATTTTGGTCCTTTTGTAGCTCCTTTCTTCAGTCCATTCTTTCCAAAGTAGTACTATCACAATTTTTGGTTGAATCCATACTCATCAATTTATTATAACCATTTTGTAGTTAAATATGTACATAGTTTGTATGTGTGAATATACATAATATATAGTTTGTACTGTGTATATATAATTGTATATACTATATAGTATGTCTATAATTTGTATCATATGTATTATCTATATAGTTTATACTATATATTTGTACTATTTTGTCATAATATGTGCATACAGTTTATACCATATATAGATTATAATATAAACTATGTATAGTTTATACTGCATATACTATGTAAGGTTTAAACAAGCTAAAACATAGTATATATATACACGTAATATATACTTTATGCTATAATTGCATTTCTTAAACAATTTCTGTTTTCTTGGAGTTAATTTTTAAAAATATTTTCACTTGCTTGGTTTTTATATTTTTGGAAACTACAAACTTCTTTGAAAAGTAGCTCTCATTATAGCTTCCTACATGGTAAAATTTGTAAGATAATCTGCAAATTCCATTTAGGAGGAATCTATTCTGTTATCTTTTGTCCTTCTGTTTTGATTAGGATTGGTTGCTTTTTGAACCTGCTACACATTTGTTTATTAGATTTTCACTTTGATACCATCTTGATAATGCTCTTTCAAGGAATTCTCTCTTTACTGTGCTGAATCTTCTTCTTTCTTGGTTTTAGTGGAGCACATTCCTCAGTAGCTTCCAGAGAAAGGGTGCCCAGGAATTTGCATGAGACTTTCTATGTCAGAAAATGACTTCATTTTGTCCTCATACAGTTTGATGTTAAAATTATTTTTCCTTAAAAAAAAACTGGTCTCTTTTTAAAAAATAACTTTTCTTCAAATATCTGGCAATCCTTGGCTATTCATTTATCTTTAAAACTGAGGCATTAAAAAGAGTTCAAGTTCAGTGTGTCTGCTAAACTGGTTTGATGGGGAAGGAGGTAATGAGGCTGCAGAGGTGTTGGGGACGTGTCACAAAAGGCTGTTTCCTAGCAGTCAACTACAGGTCTTTTCGAGTCTGTTTTTTCTTTTCAATTTTGTTTATTCCTATGTCTGAGACCTAAAAATTTCCATTTTGAAATTTCTTAAGATTTTGAACCTGAATTCTATTTCTTTTCTTTTCTTTTCTCCTCCCTCCCTCCTTCCCTCCCTTCCTTCCTGCCTTCCTGCCTTCCTTCCTTCTTTTTGATGGAGTTTCACTGTTTTTGCCCAGTCTGAGAGTGCAATGGCACGATCTTGGCTCACCACAACCTGTGCCTCCTGGGTCAAGCAATTCTTGTGCCTCAGCCTCCCAAGTTGCTGAGATTACAGGCATGCACCACTACACCCAACTAATTTTGTATTTTTAGTAGAGACAGGAATGCTTTTCTCCATGTTGGTCAGGCTGGTCTTGAACTCCCAACCTCGGGTGATCTGACTGCCTTGACCTCCCAAAGTGCTGGGATTACAGGCATGACCCACTGTGCCTGGCCCTTTTTTTCCACATCTCTTAAAAAGAAAGCACACCAGCCTGAGCTAATGTATTTATTTTTAATTTAAAAAGATTTAAAAGTTTTTAAATTTTTGCAGAGATGGGGGTCTTGCCTTGTTACCCAGGCTGGTCTCAAACTCCTGGCCTCAAGTGATCCTCCTGCTTTGGCCTCCCAAAGTGCCAAGATTACTGGAGTGAGCCACCATGCCTGACAAATGTATAATTAAAAATGACTGATATTGCTTACATTCATTGTTGTTGCTCTATCATTTATTCCTTAATTTTCTCTAAGAAAAAACTGTCTGTCTGGTAGTTATGATTTCATTTCAATTTCTTCTTGCATTTTTGTCAAAAATTTTTTTTACATATGCTCTTGCTGTGTGGTTTCAATATGTACATTCAGTATTAGTAGGTTTCATTGTTAATCTGTATTATCTACCATGTAGTAACCATATTCATTTCTATTAATGATGTGTGCTTTAAGAAATCGCCCTTATTGGCTATTAGGATAATAAGCTACATTTCTCTTGTAGACATACAAAGATGATAGACTTTGACCATTAGATAATTTTCAGTGGAAGAGTTTTTAACTTGGCCTATAAGGTATCTGAAATTGTATTCCAAATTTTTCTGTGTATTCCTGTATTCATTTCCCAACCCTGACTCAAAGGATCCCCAGCCTAACTACCAAATAGGTAAGAGCCACTATTAATATGCCGTGGATGTGTTTCTCTTGCAGACAACAATGAGAAGTGAGACCACAAAAATAACAACAACAACAAACAAAAATGAAATATCATCTTTTAATTTAGCCGGTGTTCTTGGGAATTAAGGCTGTTGTACTTATTCTTTGCTTTTTATTTACATGGTTTCTGTGAACTAATTTTCTATTTATTTATTATTTTGACCACTAAAATTGGTTTAACTATAAAAACTCTAGAAGATAACCTAGGAAATACCATTCTGGACATGGGTCCTGGCAAAGATTTCATGACAAACATGCCAAAAACAATAGTAATGAAAACAAAAATTGACAAACGGACCTAATTAAACTAAAAAACCTCTGCACAGCACAAACAAACAAACAAAAAAACAACAAAAAACTATCAACAGAATAAACAGAAAACATACAGAATGGGAGAAAATATTTGCAAACTATGCATCTGACAAAGGTGTAATATCCAGAATCTATAAGGAACTTAAACAAATTAACAAGCAAAAAATGAACAACACCATTGAAAAGTGGGCAAAGGATATGAACAGACACCAAAAGAAGACATGCATGCAGCCAACAAGCATATGAAAAACATGCTCGACATCACTAATCATTAGAGAAATGCGAGTCAATTCGAGAAGCTTTTTGGATGAGTCTTTAGGGTTTTCTAGGTATACAATCATGTCATCAGTGAACAGTGACAGTTTGACTTCCTCTTTTCTAATTTGGATGCCCTTTATTTTTTTCCTCTCATCTGATTGCCCTGGCTAGGACTTCCAGGGCAATCAAATGAATAGAAGTGGTGAAAGAAGGCACCTTTGTCTTGCTTCAGTTCTCAGGGGGAATGCATTCAACGTTTCCCTGTTCAGTATAATGTTGGCTGTGGGTTTGTCATAGATGACTTTTATTACCTTAAACTATATCCCTTCTATGCCGATTTTGCTAAGGGTTTTAATCATAGAGTGTTGCTGGATTTTGTCAAATGCTTTTTCTGCATTTATTGAGATAATCATGTGATTTTTGCTCTGCACAGCAAAAGAAATCAGCAGAGTAAACAGACAACCCACAGAGTGGGAGAAAAATCTATATAATTCATACATCCAACAAAGGACGTATATCTAGAATCTACAAGCAACTCAAACAAATCAGCAAGGAAAAAACCAAACAATTCCACCAAAAAGTGGGCTAAGGACATGAATAGACAATTCTCAAAAGAATATATACAAATGGCCAACTAACATATAAAAAAATGCTCAACATCAGCAGTTATCAGGAAAATGCAAATCAAAACCACAATGTGTTACCGCTTTACTCCTGTAAGAATGGCCATTATCAAAAAATTAAAGAAATAATGGATATGGTGAAAAGGGAACACTTCTACATGGCTAGTGTGAATGTAAATTAGTACAACCACTATGGAAAACAGTGTGGAGATTCCTTAAAGAACTAAAAGTAGATCTAACATTTGATCCAGCAACCCCGCTACTGAATATCAATCCAAAGGAAAAGAAGTCATTATACAAAAAAGATATTTGCACACGCGTATTTTTAGCAGCACAGTTCACAATTGCAAAAATATGGAACCAGCCCACATGCCCATCACTTAACGAGTGGATGAAGAAAATATGGTATATGTATACCATGGAATACTACTCAGCCATAAAAAAGAAGGAAATAATGGCATTTGCATCAACCTGGATGGAATTGGAGACCGTTATTCTAAGTGAAGTAACTCAGAAATGGAAAACCAAACATCGTATGTTCTCACTCATAGTGGGAGCTAAGCTATGAGGATGCAAAGGCTTAAGAATGATACAATGGGCTTTGGGGACACAAGGGAAAAGGTGGGAGGGGAGTGAGGGATAAAAGACCGCACATTGAGTACAGTGTACACTGCTCAGGTGCTGGGTACACCAAAATCACAGAAATCATCACTAAAAAACTTATTCATGTAACCAAACACCACCTGTTCTCCCAAAACCTGTTGAGATAAAAATATTTAAAACTGCTCAACATCACTGATAATCAGAGAAATGCATATTCTTAGAGAGGGAGTTCAAGAGAACTGATTTTTGTTTATCTGACTGTGTGTTCTTTATCTTATATAATTATCTTAACTGTCTTTTGAGGTAGGATTATTGTACTCATTCTATGGAGGAGTAAACAGAACAAGTATCAGATATCTAGGACCAATGGGATTTAATTCAGGCCTTTCTAACTCCCTGAACATTGCTTTCCCATTCTGATATTTCTGCTGAGCTTTGTCTGGAGCTTTCTATATAGCTTTTCTTATTTCCAGGCGAGATGTTCAAAATCGTTCACACCACTGGACTTTGAAACGTTGTCTTTAAAACCTCCAAGAGTCC